GGGGGGGGGCTCTTAATGCCAGGATGATGGTTTTGTTCTAAGTACAGAATACCAACCAATTACGCCTCTGACCAGGGTGATAGTAGAGGGGGGTGGTGTGGAGGGGTGACTGCCGTCTCCCTCTGAAAACTCCTCCTATCGTGTTCAAGCTCGGAAACGCCTTACTGCTCTGCGCCTCAGGGCTTAGGGTGTTCACCAGGACCAGGCCTATTCTTCCCTATGATAAAGCCCCTGCTCTTCGAAACACGCCAGAGATTCCCGCTGACCTGACCTTTCCCTTGCCATCGTAATCCTTATCGAATCCAAATGTCATTTTCATTTCGTAACGATAAAAGCGATAAGCTCATTTTTCTGCTTCCGTTATCAGTGGACTAGGTGCAGCGGCGAACCGAATGGACTCGTGCCTCGTTAAAATAGAAACATATTCTATGGATTAATTGGTCGGTAATTGGTCCGCCCGGCTCCGACACGCCCGGCTCGGCATTTTTCTATTGCCGCTTCGTTGAGACCGACCTTGATCTTGGGGCCGATGAACCAGACCGAGCAATATGGTGGTGCAACGGCTTTCCCTCGACAACAGAGTATCTACAGTACACGCTCACTCCAACTATCAGGAGGGCCCTTCACATAAAATAACTTAAAACGCATTTTTTTTACGCGCAACTTGAGCCTATTATTCGTCATAGTCAACGTTGAAGAGCGTACGCTGCGCAGTTTTGCGGGTTTGTCGTCTCGTAAGGCGACATGGCGACTGCGGCCAATAAAGTGATATCATACAGAAAGTATACGTCCGTCATTCGCCGTATGGAACCTGTCAAGTTCACCCCAGTTTTTTTTTCAGTTTTCAAAATGGTTTTATTGACGTCAAATGGTTACATATGGATTTACATGGGTTGGTGTGCTGTTGCCCGTAGGCCTTACAGTATTTACTTATTAACGGGTGAGAGGGTATTGGATGGGGTGGAGCGTTGATGAAGGGGCGATTAGATGGTGTAATGTAATGGTTGATGATTTGATTTAGTGTCCTCTGGCTTACCAAGGCCAGGGGAAGAGCCCCCGCAAGCTCTCATAGCGCCCGGGAGGTAGGCAATACCTTGCCTGCAGGACACGCGTGTACAGCGGGGTGGCCTACCCCGAGTCTCACAGGCGCTGAGCAGCCGTAATTTGCCGAATGAATTTGAGAAAAGACAGAGACGTACTTTCCGGACGATCCCTAAAAGAGCGTATGTACTCCCGAAACACTGCGGAGTCCGCACTGGTGTATGATGTGATGTAGTTGTCACATTCGCAACACTACGGCCGCACGAGGTGAGCTGCACGGTCATGGCGGGATTGACCTCCAATTAATTAGAGATATCAGCTGTTGATATTCTGCCGTCTCAGAGATTCTCCTACTCTCTCTATCCGTCCCCCTCTCTTGATTTGATAAGCCAGACTCCCTCCGCGGTACACGTGCAGCGCGAGTTTACCCGAATGAAATGGCCCGGCCCCGCCCATCTATGGGATCATCTTGAGCTGAACCTAAAAACGGCTGTCAAGGAAAGAAATCTGGTGTCTCCCCTTCATTGAATTTCCCGCTTCCGCTGAAAACTGAATCGTTGAATCAAGTGAATTTGCGTTTGGAACAAAGGCAAGCTCTTGCAGCCTTTTGGGTGCGGCAGCAGAGGTGCTTATACACTTTCAGCACAATTCCGTCGGCCCTATTTATTTTTTTCTAGGGACCCAAAATGTTGTTACGACCTGCACTCCCTCACCGTCAGTCACTGTATTAATATCATTCCCGCCCGCCTCACCACAATTGGGCCCTCGCCCGGGGCCGGCCCCGCCTCCGCCCTCCGCCTCATCGCAGCCGATACAAATCGAGTTTGCCGCGGAGTCACATTGGGTGCGAGGCTCAGCGCTAATCCGAATATCCGGCCCAATCCTCGCGAGGCGCTGCGCAGTCCTCGGCGCCATTCACGGCGTTAATAGATTTCTCACTGCCGACCAGCCCGAGCCTCGGGCAACGAGGCTTTACCGGGGTTCCCCAACGCGGGCAGGGGGAAGTTATGCTTTCCCTCCCTTCACTGTATAAGTTTCTTACAAACAAGTAAGTACTTATCCTAACGTACAAAGAAGTTGACACCTTTGCAATACAAACAAATCCGTTTGTAATTATGGTGGTTTCGGATCCTTTGTACGCTACAAACCAAATTCTTCTTAATATGAAGAACATTCTCTGCAAGAAACTAAGACTGTTCGCCGCACGGTCGCGCTACTCACCCACATCCTGTCGCGGCAGGGAGGAGATCCTGGAGAAGAAGTCGGATCCCTCGGAGGCCGGGGCCGGGGACGGCGCCGACCAGGAGAAGAACTCGGCGGCGCGGATGGGCGACGGCGTGGCCGCGGCCAGCATCAGCGCCGTCAGCAGCGGCAGCGAGGACCTCGGCGCGATCATCTTGGCTCCGGGTCGGCTGCTGTGGGGCGACTGCGGCGGAACCGGCGGGCCGGCGGACCGGCGACCGGGGTTGGGTTGAGCCGGGCTCGTGTGTCGAGCAGCGCTGTTGTACAGGAAAAGAGGAAAAAATAATACACTAATCAATGACGCGTTTTCGTGCGAGGAGGGGGAAAGAGGAGAGGGGGGG